CCCGTCTCTCCCAGGCCCCGCCGAGGCCCTGTCTCTCCCAGGCCCCGCCGAGGCCCTGTCTCTCCCAGGCCCCACCGAGGCCCCGTGCCCTGCCGAGACCCGGGCTCAGGTCTGTCCCTGGCTGAGCCGGCTGAGGTGTCATCTTTTATTCAGCCACGCCCTGACGTTGGGCCGCAGGCGATTTCCCTTTCCTCGCTAGCAACAATGCAAATAAAACTGCACTTCACGGGGAGGCATCTGACTTTTTCCCTGCGGGGACTCTCTCCACAGAATAAATTCGCAGGTATTACTGAGCCTGGGCTTCATAAATCAGCATGATCGGCTCGGACTTCAATATACTGCATAGACCAAAGGCATGCACTTAGAGAGAGAGATTTTTAAAAATCCTCATCCCAGGATATGTTTTTATTTATTTTATAGAGAGAGGGAGAGACAGAGAAAAAAAAAAACTTTTTGATGTGAGCGAGAAACATCAATTGGTTGCCTCCTGCACACACCCCGACCGGGGCCAGGGATTGAACCCCCAACCTAGGGAATTGGACCCACAACCTTTGGTGCACACGACGACACTCCAACCAAAGCCACCTGGCAAGGTGGGGAGAGAGATTTTTAAGGGCCAGTTAAATGCAAATGTCTGCTAATGGAAGAAACTGTTTTAAGCTCACAGGCAGGGTTTCCCTCCCGTCTTTGGGGAGGGGCCTCTGGGGGGTGGGTGGAATGAGCAGGAAGCGTGGCAGAGAAGGCCCTCCTGGGGGGCTGGACTTCCTGCTCATCAGAGGGCATTTGGGCTTTCGTTGTCTCGGAGCCGACGTCACTTTTTCACCAGCATTTTGTGAATTCTGGTATAAAGAACCTCACCACCTGATAACCCAGTAATCCCTGGGGACCCGGTCAGCTCCCCGAGCCTCACGTTCCCCTCTGCAGCTCAAGGTGAAGGCCCCCCATCTCATCTCTAGGCTGTGAAAGTGCAGATACAAAAGGAGGTGAAACTGCCGTGTCCACGGGGAGACATTAGTCTCGCAGAGCGTGGTCCTCGACCCTGGTCCAGAAGCACTGGGCGGGCGGAAGGGACTCCCGGCTTCCCCGGCCCTGCCGCGTCCCGAGCTCCCAGCTCTGCACCCCTCTGGGACCCGCCTTTCTACCAGGTGCCCCGGGCTGAGTCTCACTGACATTTGTAGACCACGGGCTGCGGGGTGTTCAGGTGTCGTCTCAAGCTGGGGGGGGGGGTAAGGGGGGGCAGGCCTCGGCGCCTTAACTGGCTTCCAGGTGGTTCTGATCAGCCCTGGCTGAGAAGCGCCAGGTGAGGGTGTGAACGGCGGGCGGGGCCGATGAGCAGGCGCTGGCCCAGGAGGAGGCCTCCGCAAACCTGCTGCCTTTGCCTTTGCGTGGCCCAGGCCCAGCTTTCGCTCTGCTAACCCGGCTTTCCTGCTCCCCAGGGTCCCAAGTGATGGTGGTTTCCACGGAGGGCGAGCTGAGTCCTGTGCGACTGGTGGGCCCGGCGGAGCTGGCGGTGGCGCCTGCGGGCTGGCGGGCGTGAGCGTGGTCTCTCAGCATCTCCCCGGGAGGAAGCATGTCTAAGAAGGGCCGGAGCAAGGGCGACAAGCCCGAGATGGAGGCGGACGCGGTGCAGGTGGCCAACGAGGAGCTGCGGGCCAAGCTGACCAGCATTCAGATCGAGTTCCAGCAGGAAAAGAGCAAGGTGGGCGGGTGTCTCCATGCAGCGAGGGGCGGCTGTGAATTCCGGGGACAGTGCTGCCCCCGGGGTATGTCTGGAGGGCGTGTTCCCGGGCTGGGTTGGGTGGGCACTCCACCCATCTAACACCAGTGGCGGTCTAGACACCGCCTGGGGGTGAATCCCAGCCCCCCTCCCCCGCCCCCGAATCTTTCTGTGACCTCAGACCAGCTACCTAACTCTCCCTGCCCGGGACTCCCCTCACCTGCTCACCTGGGCCACCTGGCCCGCCCCTGCTGGCCACCCGGCCTCTCCCAGGCTGCCCTGCACACACCTCTGCCCCCCCTGTCCACATCCGCCTCCTTTCCATCTGTGACCACACTTCCCTCTCTCTGCTCTTTGCTTTTCAGCTTCCCTCCTCCCAGCAGTCCTCACGGGCCGCTGTGGCCACCCTGTTTCCCAGGAGATGACCAGGAAGCTGTGGGAGGTTGTACACTCAGGGTTCTTCAGAGAGAAACAGAACCAGCAGATTTTACATATAAACACGCGTACACACACATATGTGCACGGGGCGGTTGCGGGGAGAGGGAGAGGGATTTTTTGGAGGTTGTCTCACACCTGAGGTGGTGGACACGTCTATAACGTGCAGGGCTGGCTGCTGGAGATTCCAACAGGAGTTGCCCTTGCCGTCCTGAGTCCAGGGGCCGCAGGAGGCTGACCCTGCCTGGCTGGGGCCTCAGTCTTTCCTCTTAGGCTTTCACCTGACTGGGTGAGGCCCCCCCATGTCAGGGAGGGCGATCCACTTTCTCACGGTCTGCTGACTTAGATGTCAATCAGTCTAAGTCAACAGTGGTCGGCAAACTGCGGCTCAGCAAACCACGGCTCGGCAAACTGCGGCTCGCAAGCCACATGCGGCTCTTTGGCCCCTTGAGTGTGGCTCTTCCACAAAATACCGACTTCTGCGCATGGGCCACAAAGTTTCAATCGCACTGTACATGCACGCCTGCACGTGGTATTTTGTGGAAGAGCCACACTCAAGGGGCCAAAGAGCCACATGCGGCTCGAGAGCCGCAGTTTGCTGACCACGGGTCTAAGAAATACTTTAACCACAACAGCTAGCCTGGTGTTTGGACTGTGCCCTGGCAGCACGGCCCTCCTGAGTGACACGTTACAGGAACTGTCCCAGGTTCAGTCATTGGCCGAGGGAAACACACTGATCGGTGCAGATTCGGGGTGCAACCCGATCCCCTCCTTCTCACTCCAAATCACTGGCAACCTTAACCCCAAGACCAGGACCATGTTGCCTCCTAGAGAGGAGGCCGCCGGGAGCACCGAATCCCCCCTGAGAAACCATGTTCGGTGAAGTCCTGCTGTCTGGCTCTCCGTCCCTCGGGAGAGACTGATTCCAGCCCTCGGGTGAGGTGGGCCTGGGCTGGCCCTTTCAGCTCCCGGGCGAGGTGGGCCTGTATTGGTGCTGCAAGGGTTTAGGAAGCCCCACGTTGGGCGCCATTAATGCCGGGGTTCTTGTTCCAGCATCTAAAAGGGTTCAGCCATCTGGAGAAGGCTGTGTGTAACTTAAAGAGTCGAGTGACGAAATATAATTTTGAAAGACTTGGGGGTCAGAGGAGCTTAGCTAAAAGGAACTAAGATTTCCTCGTCTCAGGACCCCATGCTTTTTATTAACACAACTAGAGGCCCGGTGCACAAAAATTTGTGCACTGGCGGGGGGGTGGGGTGTCCCTCAGCCTGACCTGTGCCCTCTCACAGTCTGGGAACCCTCGGGAGATAACCAACTGCTGGCTTAGATCTGCTCCCCGGGTGGCAGATGGCAGGCCCGATCCCGCAGTGCCTGCCCCGCCTCCCAGGGTCGCGCACACGGCAGGGCTGATCCGGGGGTTGGGGAGCCGCCCCGGGTCAGGTCGCACATGGACGCCTGCCGCCCCGGGTCACAGATAGCAGGCCCAGATGGCAGCAGGGCAGGCTGGATGGCGCTGTCCCGCCCTGCCTGCAGTCCCGGGGTTGTGGTGCTGCCCTGGGTCGTGTACACGGCAGGCCCGATCCCGGGGTTGGGGCAGGCGGCGGATGGTGCTGCCCCTCCTGCAGTATGCAAATTTAACAGCCATCTTTGGTGGGTTAATTTGCATACTCTTCTGATTGGCTGATGGGCGTAGCGAAGGTACGGTCAATTAGCATCTTTGTCTTTTATTAGTGTAGATTTGTCCTGAGGAGAGGCAGAAATATACACTTCAAAGGGTAGGGATTCATATACAGAGGCATTGTCAGAATGGGGGAATTTGCCTATGGCTGTTCAGGTGTTTGGCCAGTAGGAGGCAATAACATGTAGATTAAGATGCCCTGAGCTGTCTGGCAGCAAACAATCATCCCTTTTCAGGTTTGGGGAAATGCCTTCAGCCATTCCCAACAGGTGACAACATATGTGACTCAGCCCTTGTCGAGTCCCCAAGTTACATCAACCTTTCGATGAAACTCTTGCAATTATGACCTGCTGGCATTGGCTTCCAGCAGGCCTGGGCTTACCCTTTTAGCTCCTGGGCGAGGTGGGCTGGGCTGGCCCTCCCTTGTCTCTGTGATCCTGACTGTGAGGTGAGGGATGGTGACCTCTCTTTGCCTGGTTGGTTGTATTAGCTTCTTTCCCTGCTGCTCGTTGTAAGTCAGCTGACATCCTGGCTCCTCACCTGCGCTGAGTTTCAGGGACTGGTGTGCGCCAGGCAGCGTGGTCTGTGGAGGCAGCGGATCCGAGAGACCACTGTTCCGGTGCTGGGGAGGCCGTGTTATCTAGAAAACAGAGGGACCGTGGAGAGTTCCTGTGGGATTTGACGTGAAAAGGTCAGATAGAGCCTTTGGAGTGTATTAGGAGAATGCGCCCTGGGCACATTTTACAAGTAATGTTTTTAATTGTGTGTTGATCCCACAAATACATGCAGGCGGGGTTGGCGGCCTGGCATCTGGGGACACCAGCTCTGGGCCAGGTGCCCGGGGTGAAGCCAGGCTCTGCCCCTTGGCAGCCCCTCGCCCAGGCAGGTCACCAAAGCGTCTCTAGGCCTCAGATGCCTTGCGGCAAAACAGAGCCTCCTGTGGGGGATGCTCCAGAGTCCACAGGAGCCACTCCTCCTCTTCCTCCACCCCCTCCACCCCC